GCTTGTTCTGCCCTTGTGCCGGTCACCTGCTGCTGGGGACCTGAAGGGGGCCAACTCCAAAGCAAACTCCTCCTCCTATGCCCGAAATGCCATCACCACCTAAACAGCAGAAAGCAGGCCCTCCTCGTCCGTCTTGGATGCCAGAAGGGCACCTCCGCCGGGCATTCTCGGAGAAGGAAGCCAGCGTTAAGAAGATGGTCTTGGGAGGCCGATTTGCAGAGGAGCGAGAGAAGAGCAGCAGCTTTCTTGGGCTTTGGGGCACCCGGGGCCACGTGCAGCGATCCACAAAAGCACCTGCGTAATAAACCGACCTTTATAGGGTCCCAAGACTGATACCTGTCAGCAAGCTGGCTTGGCTAGCCTCAGGCCAAACAAAGCTGCTTTCCTGGGACTTCTTGTCCTGGTGAGGAGCCGGCAAATACCTGGCCGCAGGTGGCTTTAGAACTGACCTGGGGGGCAAGAACCTAACCCTGAGGGGGCTTCCTGCCCCCTTCAGGGTATTTGGTGCTGCTTTTGGAGGTGCTGCCACGGGGCTTTAGAACAAACAGGTCCTACAAAGTCCTTTCTCTCCGCAACCATTTCCCCGCTTCAGGGAGAACCTGCAGGCAGCTGTGGTGCTCAGTTACAGCGGGAATCCTCTCCTGGGGGACACTGGAAGAAGAGGCTCTGTGGTTACACAGAGGTGGGATTCAGCAAGTTCTGGCCAGTTCTGGAGAACCGGTAGTGGAAATTTTGAGTACTTTGGCCAATCCCGCCTCTGACTGGAGATTTTACAGCCTCCTTCCCCTGCCAGGCCCACCAAGCCACACCCACAGGACCGGTGCTAAAAAAGATTGAATCCCGCCACTGGTGTGGTACTCCTATAGAGTTCTGCCTAGTTAAATTATTAATTATCTGTGATGACCCAGAGTATATCAGAAATATAACAAAACCCAAAACGTAACTAAAAATCCTTTAATGCCTTCAACTTGCCTTCACTGTTTAATTTTCACAGCGGAGGAGTAAACTATTTTCAAAACAGCATTTCAAAGGAAAGAAACACAGTTCAAATTCAAAGAGCCAATAATGAAGCAAAAACCAAAAACAAACTGCACTGAATAAAGTTTCACGACAGACCAGGATAGATAATTGCCAACTTCAGGAAGATAACCAGGTATTGTCCGTCGGAAGAACACCAACCGAGATAAACTTTCTTTAGGAATAAAAAACACTAAATTGTCTCCAGCGTCTGTTAGCACACAGATCCAAACTCTTATGCAGATCTCACGCCTACAACCCATGAAGAGGATCATGGCCCTCTCCTCCCGAGTAGACCACCTTTTACCCCGATCGTCTCCTCCCTGCGCGTCCTAGGATGGATGGGCCTGGGTCCTCCTCTGACTGCTCAGAGTCAGTCTCCACCAGGGGCACGACACTATCAAAGTGATGAGGCCAAATCCTCTGAACACTATGCCACGTTGAGAATCTAGGACCGAGCAGTTGCACACGCTCCAGGGAAGAGAGAGCCTTTGCTGGTCCTTCACTCGAGGCACACTCAACGTAAGGATGGGGTGAGGGGTGAAAGGGGATCCTCTGAGAGAGCCACATCCCTCCACTCACCACGGAATGTCCGTTCCACATTGCAAACGCCTCTTCAAACCCACCCATCTGCAGTGCTCGCCCTTGGCTAAAAGCAACCCTTCGGCTGGCCCTGGAGAGCTCTTCCTGGGGGCCTTCCTCCCCTGGAGCAGCTCTTCCTCCCGGAGAAGGGCCTGTTGAAGACCCCGGGGGGAGTGGGCTCCGTGCCTCCATAACAGAACTTTCTTTGCCTGGCAACTCTGGAACCTGGCTAACTGTTGCATCACCTCCTGTTCCGGAGGAGGCTGGGATTCTCTTTGCTCCGCGGCGGCCGGACCTCTCTTTGCAAGAAGCCACTTTGCACCCGTCTTTCTGAGCTTGGGCAAGCCCAGGACAATGGTCACAATCGAGTCGGAGTCCGATTTCTATGACGTCTTTGAGATTCTGGGGAAGGGCACATTTGGGGAGGTTGTGAAGAGCTGGAAACGGAGCACTGGGGAGATGGTTGCCATAAAAATCCTGAAGAATGACTCCTACCGCAGCCGGATCATCAAGAACGAGTTGAAGCTGCTGCAGACCATGTCCGAGGTGGACTCTGAGGAGTCTCACATTGTCCAGTTCCACGAGTTCTTCCACGACGAGCTCAAGTTCTACCTGGTCTTTGAGCTCCTGGAGCAAAACCTCTTCGACTTCCAGAAAGAGCACAACTTCTCCTCATTGCCCGTCCGGCACATCCGCACAGTCACCATGCAGGTGCTGAGAGCCCTGGCCAAGTTGAAAGAGCTGTCAATCATCCATGCTGATCTAAAGCCGGAGAACATCATGCTGGTGGACCAGGTGAGGTACCCGTTCCGGGTCAAGGTGATTGATTTTGGATCGGCCAGCATCTTCAACGAAGTGCGCTACGTCAAAGAGCCTTACATCCAGTCCCGATTCTACCGGGCCCCAGAAATCTTGCTGGGGCTGCCGTTCTGCGAGAAGCTGGACATGTGGTCCCTGGGCTGCGTGATGGCTGAGCTGCACCTCGGCTGGCCCCTCTACCCCGGCAACAACGAGTACGACCAGATCCGGTACATCTGCGAGACCCAAGGCATGCCCAGGCCCGCCCTCCTGAATGCAGCCCGAAAGGCCCACCTCTTCTTTAAGAGGAGCCAGCACCCCGAGGTGGTGAACTCCTGGCAGCTGAAAACCCCGGCGGAGTACCTGGCTGACACCAAAGTGAAGTCTGTGGAGAGGAGAAAGTACGTGCTCAAGTCCCTGGACCAGATGGAGACGGTGAATGTCCACAAGATGATCTACCCGGACACGGAAGCCCTGGCTGAATACTTTGACCTCCGGAGCATGGTGGAGCTCATCAAGCGCATGCTGACCTGGGACTCTCACGAGCGCATCACCCCCAGCGCAGGCCTGAAACACCCCTATATTTCCACCCAACCCCTGAAGCAGAACTACAGCCTCACCCAGTACTACCAGTTCTGCCTGAGGAGCCTCCGGGAGTCACTGCCCAGCCACGGAAAGGCCTCCCAGGAGGAACTGCAACATTACAGTGCCATGGACGAGGGCCGCTTCTACAGCCGGGAGGAAAGTGCCCATGGCCTCCAGGGCACCACCAGCCAAATGGACGAGCTCAGCATTGCCGAAGCCAACCGGGAGGTGCCCCTAAAGGTGTGGGGCGAAGGGCCCAGCGGGGGAGGCTGCTACGATCCCCTCCCGGACCCGGCCGAGGCGGTGGCCAACCGGCACAGAGTGGCCCACCAGAGTCTCCGGCTGCACCATGAGCAGGCCCAGCAGGAGCCCATCCCGGCCTACTACCGAAGCCGGCCCGGCAGCCCCAGGCACCACAAGGCTTCTCGCCACATGAAGCCAGACCCCAGCTTTGAGAACCTGATTCTTCTGGGGCAGTACACCCCGGAAGACCCCCCCGGCTGGGAGAAGGAGAGCAATGCCAGCGCCGCTTCCTTGCCAGAGTCCGGTGCCCGGGAGGAGGCGAGTTACCCCAAAGGCCTGGTCCTCTCACCCACCGCACAGGTAACAAGGACGGTCAAAGGAGGCCACCCGCGTCAGGCAGGGGGCTGGACTCCATGAAACAGGGGAGGGCAGGCAACAGCTGAGCTGGCATGAATGGGGCCTCGGAGGAGGACTGAGTCAGACCCCACCCCCACACTGTTGTAAAGGGGGTGGAGGGGTAGAAACCCAATCAGGGGCGGCCCCATCGATCTTGCCAGGAGTGTGAAGAGGAGGAAAATGATGCAAACACTCTTCCGGGAACCCAAGCACCCCCGCTACCGCTCTGCCTTCCCCAGAGCCCTTCAGCCCCTCCCTGGGCCCGCTCCCCCAGTAATGCTCTGTTTCTCTTTGGCAGCACGGGCAATCAGAGGTCTTTGAACCAGCCGTGCCGCTGCCCGGGCCAAACCCCTGGCTGCCCAGTGAGGACTGGCTGGCCGAACACGGCATGGAAAGAGTTCCCCTCAAGGCCGTGCTGCACGCCCCCCGGAACCGCCACCAGCTGCAGCCCTACCTGCAACACGTTGCCAGCCACCACTAGACCCGGACCCTCCGCCAGGAAGAGGGCAGGCGCAGCAGAGAGATGGCCCACCGAGGCCCGGACAGATACCTTTCTAGACATTAAATATATAGACTGTTCCTCACTGCCCAGCCCCACTTACTTAATAAACGCCATCTTGCTGTTACTGAGCTGTACGGAGCCCTGAGGGCAGGCCAAGGCAGGCCCGGCGGGGGGAGGTGACGCATTTGGGGGGCTCTGACCAACCACAGGTAGCCCACTGGTCTTTCTGGGAGCCGAGGGCACTACACGCAGGCCACACGGCCTCCCCCGAGCATCCGGGGGGCACCCGACCTGTTGCATCGTTAATAAACTCATTATCACTTACAGGCTGCTTTGAGGGCATGTTTGTCTAGGGAGCCTCCCCGCTTCTGCCTTGACTTGCCTGCTGACCCCCATCCCCACCCCGCCTGGGCTCGGGCCGGGAGGGAGCCCGGGGAGGGGAGGGCAGCAGCCCCGAGGCTGATCTCCGAGGATCTTCCCGGGGAGGGGGGGCGCTTTTCCAGGGAGGCTTTCGGAAGGTTGCGGGCAGCCCCCTCCTCATTCCACCTGGTGGGGCCGGGCAGCCCGTGAGGCCCGGAGCGCTGGGCAAGCAGCCTTCTTACGAGCGGCCTTTGCGGGCTTCGGGGGCCCGGAGCGTTCCGGGGCTGCCCCGGGTACAAAGGACGGGACAGTCGTCACCGGGACCAACAGCCGGCGACGCCAGGAACGGTGCTGCTCCCCGGCTGGCCCCCGCGGAAGGGGCCAAAGAGCCGAACCGCGGCGCTGCCCCCTCGAGCCGCTCCGGCTCTCGGCAGCCTCGCCGGGGCGAGTCAGAGGGCGCCGCTTGGCAGGGAGGCGAGCAGGCAGCGTCGGGCGCGGCGCCGCACTTCAACTCCCAGGATTCTCAGCAAGCGGGAGGGATCTACCATCGGGGCCGGGGGGGGGGGTTGCGGTCGAGCCGGTCCAGACGGAATTCCCGGCTCTTTCGCCGCCTTTGCTCCGCGTCCGTCTCAGGAGAGGCGCCGCCGGCCGATTCCTCGGAGCTCCTTCCAGCGGGGCAGGGGCGCCGGGAGGTCCTCTTGGCTGGCCGGAGGGCTGGGACGAGCCTGGCGGCGGGCGGGGCGAGCGAGCGAGCGATCCGGAGCGACAGGCTGCCCGGGAAGCCGAGCTGTCCGCGGTAGGCGCGGGGCGGCGGGTCCGGACCCGGGACGAGGGGAAGCGGGGGTCCCGCCCGGCACCTCCCGCGTTGGCCGGGCAGCCGCCCCCGAATCCGCCGCTCCGTGGGCAGCGCCGGGAGGGCGCGGCGTGATGTGCCGGTGGGCGCTTTGCCTCCGCCTCTCCCTCCCCTCCCCGACAGAGCTGGGCACGGAGACGCCCTGGAAGAGCCGGGCAAGAGCTGGAGGCGGAGAGGGCTGCCGTCGCTGCGGCCAGCTCGCCGGAGAAAGCCCCGCGAGGGCAGTCGCTTGGCGCGGGCGGCCGCCCTCTGGGCTGGCGCGGGGGGGGCTGTCTGGCGGGGGGGGGGGGGGGGGGGGGCTCTGCCCCGTCGGATGCCTCCGCTTGGGGCTGCGGCCGGCGGGAGCGGCGTCCCCTTGAGAAGGCGCCCCCCCCCCTCCCCCGGGCCCTGCTGCTTTGGGGAGGGCTGAGCATTGGGGGGACCTGCCCTTTGTGGGGGAGGGGGGGGGTTCCAGTCTTCCACCTGTGCTTATAGAGCCCGGGCCTGCTTGGCCTTTGCCCGCGTGGTCACCTTCGGCAGATTCCCTTCCCTTTGGTCTAGAAAAGGGCCTTTCTTGTAAGGGCGGTTGGTACCTGCAAAAGAAACTCCCGGCGTGGGATTGGGCCCGGCTTGGTTTCTGCAGGAGTTCCTTGCTCCCAGCTGGAGGCCCAGGCCGTCTCCTGGTTTCTGCTGCCACCTGCTTGGCACAAGTGGCCCCTTCCAGCCGCTCCTTGGCATTCAGTCTTTCTTTGGACTTCAGGAACATCCTTGGGATTCACTCTGTGCTTTGCTGGGGCTGGTGGGCATTGCTTAGCCTTAGAGCCTTCCTCTGAGTGCCCCCCTCCCCTCCCCTCATCCTCTGGGGCCAGGTGGGTCCAATCTTTGCCCAGAATAAAGGGAAACGTTTACTTCTCAGTTGGGACAGAGCCCCAATCCAGCCCTGGATGTTGCACTAATCTAAGGATCCAGTGGCCGCCCTGTCTTCTCTGCTCTGCCCCACCGATGCCCAGTTCCTCCCCTCACCCTCACCTCAGAAGGAGCCCCCCAGAATTCCTGTCTAAGTTTCCTCCATTTGCAGAGCGGCCTCCCAAGGCCTGTGTCTTCTCGGGCCTGGCTGGTGCCCCTTGGCAGCACCCACATTCGGAAGCTTATTCCCCTCACTTCCCAGACTGCTTCCAAAGGGAGCAAAGGGCTTGAGGGCGGGATTTGAAAAGCTGGCCCTGGCTAAGCCTCCAGCAGGACGAGTCCTCTACCTAACGTCCAGGGGAGGCCCAGAGCCCTGAGTGGCACCTCTTTCTTCCTGGGCCCTTCGCAGGTTCCTCAAAGCTCTTTCCCACTCGGCAGGACCTGAGGAAATGAAGCCCCCAGTTGCGTACCAGAAGGTAACGTCTCTCAGCCACACAAAGGGGTGGGGGGGGGGGATTGTGCTGTGGAGGGATCTCTTACCCGCAGGTGATGACAGCCAAGGTGCCCCACTGCTAATCTACGGGGGCGGGGGGGCAGGGCAAAGACTTCAGCAAATAAGAGGTCCACACAGCCCCTCCCCAGCAAGTGTGGCTGAGGTGAGTCTGCAGAACTTCTTTCTGTTTGCTTGATGAAAGCCAAGGAACCTTTTCCCTCGGAGGCTGTGAGTGAGATTCTGGCTGGCCTGTGGCTTGAAGTGGGCCTATTCCTGCTCCGTGGCTTTTCCCCGTGGTTGGGAAACTTTTCTGTGCTTCTTCCTCACAGCTCAAGACACCAGAGAGCCCTCAGGAGTTGCTGCCCCTGGCTGAGCAGCCCGGGCAGACACTGCGCCAGGTGGGTCTTCCACTGCGGTGGCATCTCTCTCTGTTCTTTTCAAATGGGAGGCCCAAACCCAGAGAGGGGATCAAAAGAGGAATTAAGCCCACACAGTCCTGCTGTCCAGCCACCCCAGGAAATCAGCTTCCAGGGAGGGAGGGAGGCTAAAACTATTTTGCTTGAGACCAGCTAGGAGAACAGAATCTTGCCCGTCTGCTTGTGCTGGTCCCCCTTCCGTAGAAGGGTTTGAGCTGCTTCTACAAGTTTTCTCTCATTCTGGGCTTTAAAATGCTCCAGCCCCTTTTGCCTCTTCCTCACTCACTTTACCTGCTCCCTTCTCCACTGGATATTGGCCTGCAGGCTGCTTCCAGACCTTGATGGGTTGGTCAGCAGGCATGGAACGGCTCTGCTCGTCCCTAAGAATCCTGAGTAATGAAAGCAAAGCAGTGAGAGCCAACCAGCCCCCCGTCGTCCCCCGCCCCCCCGCCCCGCTCCCCCAGAGCACACACGGGTATTTGTGGCTACTGGGCCGGACTCTGAGCTTCCCTCTTTCTTTGCAGTTCCATGGCTCTGTCCTGGGGAGGCCCTGCCACAGCATCTCTGCGTTGCGTCCTGCAGAACCACCCAGCCAGTCTACATCCATCCTGCCCTGGGATTTCCAGTGCATGCTGGTGACGGCCATTTTGTCCACTGTGCTGGTGGTGGCCCTGGTGGTCCACTCCTTCTTCTTTCCCTTGCACAGTTTGGCCACATTAGGGAATGTGCCATTGTTCCCACATGTGGATCCCGGGTGCAGCGACTCATGCAGGTATCGGCTCTGCTTGCGATTTGCTTGGCCCCGGGGCTCAGGTAGAGAGATGTCATGTCATGGTCAGCTGTAAATGCTCCTTCTCTATCAGAAAAGCTGGCGGCTTTGCTTAAACGTGAAGAAGACTATTCAGTTCTGCTGGTGGTCCTTCCGGGAAAAAGGGGCCTGGTCACACGAGAGGCCAGGCAAGGGGCCTGGGAGGGGGATTGGGATTCTACCTGGACTGTCTTGCCTCACCCACTTCTGGATAGCAGTGCCTACACCCCCTGCTTGCATGCCAGGAGCCCACTAGCCCCACGGCTCCCCTCCCTCACGCAGTAGAGTAGGGCCACACCCAGAGGTAAGGCTGGGAGACTCTACTGCTGCTGGCTAATGGGTACAATCCCTCAGACTGAACACCTTCCTGGGGTTCAGCATAGGGGTTATGGGGCTTCCCGGCTCAATGGGCCTACAGTGTGATGTGAGACCCTTGTGGAACCCAACTCATCCCTCAGGAGTGTGCTGGTGGAGAGCATCCCTGAGGGAGTGATCTACGATGACAACAGCACAGTCGCTCTTTCGACATTTGAGACTTGGCAAAGCCTTCTGAGAAACGCCAGGAGCTCGGTGGACATTGCCTCTTTCTATTGGACTCTCAGCAACCAGGACACCCACACCCACAACCCTTCAGCCAGCCAGGTGAGGGGAGGAGCACAGACGTCCCGGGCTCGTCTCCAGAGAGGGGGAGGGTCATGCTTGGAGGAGGGATCAAGCCCAAGGGCAGATGGTCAGCAGATGGTCCCCAGGCTCAGGCAGAGATGGGGCCTTCACTTTATCCAGCGTTCCTGTGGGCAGGACAAGGACCAATGCGTGGAAGCGTTGCAGGAGATCCAGAGCTGGGCTAAGGGGAATGTCCTGACCGTGAGAACTACGAGAGAGTGGGTTAGCCAGCGGTCTGGGACAGTTTAAGGTTCCTTAGACTGCCTCTGGGATCTACAACTGCCATTGGGCCTAGAATAGCATCTCTCAGCTGTAAGAAGCCAGGTCTGGGCGACAGTGGCTTCTTCCATCTGGGAATCCTGTGGCCCCTGCACCTATATTCATTTACAGCTCCCAGAATTTCCAAGTGCACTTCTCAGGTGCGTAAAGGTCCCAGCTCGGTGAAGCCTCGCCCAGGCATTAGTCTCACTGGTTGGTTTTAACAGCTGGTGGCTTTTTTTTTTAATCTATCAGCCACCTTCAAACCTCAAGGCTTTTCTTAGGCACGCATGCTTGCTAAGAAGACGGGAAGGGGGCTGGGGCTGGCAGAGCCAAGAGGCAGATGCGGATTAGCCCATGGGGCCATAGCCAAACCCACATGCAAAGAGGCGGCTAATTACACAGGCGTGGAGCCACGTGTGGCCTTGCAGTCCGTCAAAGCTCCCTTTGAGGGCAGCGGAACATTCATTGGTTCAGACTTTGGTTACAGAGGGAGAGCAGAGAGCCGCTCTCTCATTTTGACCACTGTCCAAGGAAGTGGAGAGGAGGCTGGGTGCTGTTCCCATGGGAGGAAGCAAGTTCAGCAGTGGCTAAAACTATAGTCAACAATGAGGGGGTTGAGCCTGCTTTGCTCTGCCGGCCCAGGCTTCGTCTGAGGGGCCATCGGGTTGGGTAGCATGGGGTGCATCATGTGCCCCCTTGGGGAGGGGGCCTCCTGGGAAGAGGGTCCCTATCCCCAGCAGTTCTCTGCTGCCTCCCGGACCTTTTGCTGTCCCATCAGGGGGAGGATGTGCTGACAGAGCTGCTGCATGCGACCAGTCGAGGGGTTGTGTTGCGGATCGCAGTTAACCCACCTTCTGCCCGGATACCCAGTACCGACCTTCAGCTCCTGGAGAAGAGCGGTGAGTTTCCGCCATAGCAGATTCAAGTCAGTTAACGGACAGCTGTAGGTGCTGCGGGTGACGGCTCTGGGTCTGCCAGGCTGAGTCCATCCCTGCCCTTAATTAGGGCAGAGAAGATGCTGAAGCTGTGGCCCAGTCAAGTCTCTGCTTCTAAACACACAGGGGCCCAGATCCGCCAAGTGGACTTGCCCAGGCTGACCCGGGGAGTCCTGCACAGCAAATTCTGGATTGTGGACCAGCTGCACATTTATCTTGGGAGTGCAAATATGGACTGGCGTGCCCTTACGCAGGTAGTGCCCTCTTGGTCAGCCTGGCTGGCCTTCCCACACCCAAACCTTGAGGCTCCCGATGAGGGTTTGGGTGGAGCAACTAGGGGTCTCCTTTGGGGTCACTCTGCAGGCATTCTCCGTCCCTCTTCGGAGGCTTTCTAAAGGTTCCAGAAGGCAGGCTGCCTGGCACCATCGGGCAAAACCAATTTCCCCAGGTGTCGCAACAAAATTGTTGCTTTATGACTTGGTATGCTGGAAGCCAAGAGGACCTCTTGCTGTTTTGAGTCATTCGGAAGCGCCCCCCCCCCCCCCCCAGGATAGTGGGTGCACCTGTTGAATTATGTGCCTGCAGCTCCTTGTGTTCCATGTGGGGACAGGAGAGAACAGCTAGGTGTGCTGGGCCCATTCTCCTCTCTGGTGCCAGGTGAAGGAGCTCGGGGTAGCTGTCTACAACTGCAGCTGTCTGGCCCAGGACTTGGGGAAGATATTTGAAGCCTACTGGGCCCTTGGGCTACCGAACGCCACCATCCCATCACCCTGGCCGGCCAATTACTCCACCCCCTACAACAAGGAGACACCCCTAGAGCTGAAGCTGAATGGCAGAGAGGCTGCTGTCTACTTTTCGGTGAGGACCTACCTGCGTGTGGACACGGATAAGAGTTTTGCTCCAGCAGCTGCCAGGTTGCTCATGGGACTCTCTGATCACACTCGGTGGGAGAAACATCTTCCTCCAGGTGCAAAAATGATCGTTTCTGCTAAGAGGCTAGAAGAGTAGTGGGCTCTTCTGATGGATTGGGGTGAGGGTCCCACCAGCCCTTCCCTGCCCAAGCAGGGACACAAAACATAAAAGCTCGATTGTTGCTGCCCTCCCTTTGGCAGGATGAAGGGGCTGCTTTCCCCAGCCCTGGGCAGGCCTGGCTCCTCCCAGCCGGATTTGGCCCTTGGAGGGGAGCTGGGAGGTGCCAGTTCACCACCGCTGTACAGGGCCAAATGCCCTCTGCCTTCCGGGCAACTTTGCCTGCTTTGCTAAAATGATAGTGACGTTGAGGGGGGTGCTCTTTTGTGCTGCCCAGAGTGCCCCCCCAGCCTTGTGTGCCCCCGGGCGGACGGCCGACCTCCAGTCCCTGCTGAGTGTCATCGAAGGGGCCCAGGAGTTTGTCTATGTGAGCGTGATGAGTTACTTGCCCACCATGGAATTCTCCCACCCCAGGAGGTAAATTGGAGGAAAGCTGCAGTGGGGGAAGATCATCCCAAGCATTTCGGGTGGCGCTCCCTCTCTCACAGCAGCCCCACAGAGGCTGGCGTGGGTGTGCTTGTTCTCAATGGGGACCATGAGACGCCTCGGCATCACTGGACTCTCCTCTTGGGAGCAGACACGGGCTGCCATGCGGGATGCAAAACCAAGGCCCCTCCGGTCCACAGAAAGACCCCTCTCCATAGAACGGGTCCCTGGTACCAAAAGGTTGGGGGCCACTGGACTAGAGGATCTCCAAAGATCCATCCAACTCTTCTTCTGTTCTGATTCCAACCTTGCTGCTCCCCTCAGGTTCTGGCCAGCCATCGATGACCACTTCCGGAAAGTGGCCTACGAGAAAAGAGTCCGCCTCCGCCTCCTGGTCGGCTGCTGGAAACACTCCAAGCCAAACATGTTCCCCTTCCTGCGCTCCTTGGCTGCCCTGCAGGACAATCACACCCACTACAGCCTGGAAGTGGTAAGGGGTCCCAGGGCCAGGGAGACACAGCCCTCCTGTTCCCGAAATGAGGGGTCGCCCATACTGGGAGTTGCTCCCGGCTCACCAAGGAGCCAGGGGTATGGGGAGGAAATCCCCCCACCAGTCCAACAAGCCCCCTCCCTAACCCATCTCCAAGCGCCTCCCTTGCTTCCCCAGAGGCTCTTTGTGGTGCCAGCAAATGAGACGCAGGCCAAGATCCCCTATGCCAGAGTGAACCACAGCAAGTTTATGGTTACAGACAAGGTGGCTTACATTGGTAAGTTGGGGCAGCTCTGGTCAGCATACTCTGGGAAGGAGGGGGGAGCAGGCAGGGGAAGAGGAAGCTGCAGCAGCATCCAGGTGAGACTCGCTGGAGCTCCTGCCAGAGAAACAGCTTCTCTTTTGGGGGGGGGGGGGCGGAATCTCTCCTCACCTCCTCCTCCTCTTCCTCCTCCTCCACGCAGGAACCTCCAACTGGTCCGGGGACTATTTCCTGCACACGGCAGGCTCTGCCCTGGTGGTGGCTCAGGGCCCGGCCGGGGAGCAACCCACCCTCCGGGAGCAGCTGCAGCACATCTTTGAGCGGGACTGGGACTCCAGATACAGCCGCCAGCTGGACCCGCAGGGCCCGTGGGAGGCTCTCTGCAGTGCCCGCTAGGCCCCGCCTGGCGCCCCCCAACGCGCGCGCGGGCGGAGGGAGGGGGGCCCTGGCGGGCTGGGGGGGGGGCGCGCTGGGGCGGGGGGGGGGGGGGGCGGGTCCCGCCGGGGGGGGCGCCCCCCCCCCCCCCGCCCCGCCGTCCAGGCCCGGCTTCGGGCGATTAAAGGCTCGCTTTTCAGCCCCTCCCTCTCTGTCTGTGGCGCCTTGCTTGCTGTCTTTGCGGCCGACCGCGGTCGTGGTGGTGGGGGGGGGGGAAGGGGGGGCGGGAGCTCGGAGCGGCGGGCGGGCGCCGGAAGTGACGCCGCGCCGCCTTCCGGTGCGGCCTGCGGGAGCCGGTGCGGCGGGGTGAGCGGGGCCGGGGCCGGGCGGGCGATGAGCCCCGGGTGCCGCGCCACGAAGGGAGGGGCGGGTCTGGGCGGCCGCGGGGCGGGGGCTTCACGCGGTGTCGCTCTCCGCAGGCATTCCGGCCGCGCCGCCTGGAGCAGCGCGATGGCGTCGGTGACGATGGGTGAGTGGGCGCCCTGCCCCTTCCCTCCCCTGCTTGGGCGGGGGTCGCCGTGGCTCCCCTTCCCTCCCCCGCTCGCCCGGTTAACGCCGCTGTTGGTCCCGCAGCCACCTCGGAGTGGATCCAGTTCTTCAAGGAAGCCGGGATCCCCCCGGGCCCCGCGGTCAACTACGCCGTCACGTTCGTGGATAACAGGCGAGTGGCTCCTCCGCGCCGCCGAGTCCCCGGGGGGCCTCTTCCTGGCCCTGCCGGGATGGAAACTTAACGAAACTAACAACGTGGACGGACAGAAAGAAAGAAAGAAAGAAAGAAAGAAATCAAGGGGAAAGTAAAAAGCTCAAGGAAAGAGAAAAACGGAGCGTTCTTCGCAGCAGTTATAGGCACAAATATATTTTAACTTTTCTCTTTAAAGTTACATCGTTACTCTTTTTTCAATAATTCCTTCTATAATTTACCCTGTCTAATCAAAGCTGTAAATCAAAAGTTTATTTTTACTCACCCGTCCCCCCCCCCCCCCCAAAAAAAAGTTTCTGGTCACTAATAAATTTAGGCAATTTTGGCAACTTCTCCAGCCATTTCTCCATAAGGGGGAACTCTTGAATATTGAAATCTGTAATTTTTCTAGCTTTTCCATTAGTCTTAAAGGAAAAGCTCTGACTTCAACAGAATATTGATCTTTATGTGTTTATTTTTCATATTTCTTAATGATCCATCTTTCTCTTTAAAATTGTCTATATCAAAGTATGTATTTTAATTCATTTTTAAGCATTTTTACACGTCCATCAGAAGCTTGACAAAATCTCCCTTCATGTTGTTCACGCTTCCAAGATAGGCTTAAGTGCCATTATATCTTCTAAATGGAGCCATCTGGCACTTCACTTAAAGAATTTCTCAGTACCTTGTAGAATCATAAAAGGATTTGTAGGAATGGTGGCTTATAGAGTTAACCATTGCTGTCTGAATCCTTGTAGGATCCAGAAGAATATGCTGATGGACCTCAATAAGGAGATCATGAATGAGCTGGGTATCACGATAGTTGGCGATATTATTGCCATTCTGAAGCATGCTAAAGTGGTATATCGGCAGGTAGGTTCCGTGGAATTGTTGCCCATCTTTGCTCTGCTTCATACATGGAGGCCTCGGACATGTATTGAGTCATGGTTTTCAAGATGATCTTTCTGATACTGAGACCAATATAGGGCTTTGCGGGTGTCTTAATAAATCTGGATTGTGCACCTGCGGAAGTGCCCTGGTGGCGAAGATGCTCCCCTCCCATTCAGAAGGTTGACAGTCCTAGGTAGCAGCTAGGTATTTCTCAGGGCGCCAGGAGAAAAGACTGCTGCAAACTCCACACAGCCATCAGAAAGGGCATCCGGCCAGTAAAGGCTTCATTCAGCCATCCCAACTCCACTCAAAATTAAGGGGTTACAGGATCGTAAAAAAATACAAAAAGATTGTTACCTGGGGATGCCAAAGTGCAAGGCCTAGTGCAAGGAGACTGTTGTGAACAGTGCACACGGAGAGTTTCTGAGATTAGGCCTGTCTCCCCATAGATGTTAGTCTTCAAGCTTTGGAGCAAAGAAATTCTGAAAGGCTAAAACTCAGGTGCTTGGAGAACTGCATGCCACTTTTGCTTCTGAGGCTCTGCTGTTCCTCAACCTGCCTTTTCTTCAGAGTGCAACAGTTTAACCTAGTAGGGGCCTGATGCATTTCTTCTGGTTTGGTGGCTGTTTTGGTGCATCCTGATCTGCTTATGATCACTTTATTATTGTGGGCATATTCTCCTCCAGGAAATGTGCAAAGCTGCAACAGAATCTGTGGCCTCCAGCCAAACTGCTTTGCAATCTGAACTCCGCAGGAATGCTAATACTGGTGAGTACAGGTTGCCTGCGTTGCTGATCGCAGAGTCTCAGCTGAATCCAGACCTCTGTGGTGGCTATTCTTTACAATTGTGATCTCACCAATTTCTGCAGCTGCCACCAGGATGATTGCCAACAGTTTAAGACGAGACTCTCCACCTTCTACTCCTGTTCGGAGGCCTGACACCAGTGCCTCCAAAATCTCCATCACTGTATCCAACAAAATGGCAGGAAAAAGCACCAAAGCAGGTAATTTTAAAAATCATGGCTGAATGTATTTCTCTGCTGGCAACTTCTGTTCCAAGTGGCTTCACGGACCCTACAAAACTCTGCCGTTGTATGCAGCTGTTGCTCAATCCTATTTCTGAGGAGTGGGATAGGAGATGAATTAGGAATGCTGCATTTGAGGAGAAACTTCATTTTTTTTAGCCTTAGCCTTTCATTTGCAAGATGAAGCTCCTGGGGTGTTATTGGGCTAGGAATTGTGCAGCATCCTATGTGGCATTCCTCCTGTCTTCAGGGCACTTTATTGCGGAAGTGCCAGGAACTTTTAGGAACGAGCCATGCTGGTGGGGTCCAAGCCTGCTGGGCAGGGAAAGGGGAAAGGGCTTCATGTTCCCATTGCTACAGGCGTCGGATAACCTTCATAAATCAGTGATGGTTGGAGATACGTTTATTGTTTTTACCTGCTGCAAGAGAGTAGGGAAGGAAACACATAAGCTAAAAACTCTTGCCACCTTCATGGAAGTCAACAAAAGTTAAATATTATTTTTGTATAACACATGAAGCATTATTCCCCATGCCGTGATTGGATGTGCTCCTTTCGCTGTTAAGAGTATTAAGGTCTAGGCTTCTGTTGCTTCCACAAAGGTAGAATTGAGCTGCTCAGCTGGAGGACCTGGAGCCAAAAATGAAGAAGCCACCCAAGAATCTGAGCAATTTCTCTTTTCACGCCCCAACGGCTGTGCTTGTCTGCTGGGCTTGTCCTGAGCAGAAGCAGTGGGGAGTGTTTCTTGTGGCATTTGCAGGCAGCATAAGAGCATCCATTGACCTGCGTCTGCTTGCTTATGTCTTCTTGTGGTGGCAGCTGTTTGCGCTCCTCGGGCTGAGAATCCCACCATCCCAATGAAGCGGCGCCGCGTCACAGCAGAGATGGAAGGGAAGTACATTGTCCACATGCCCAAAGGAACGACTCCCAGGACTAAGAAGATCCTGGAGCAGCAGCAGGCAGCAAAAGGTACTGTAGCTGTCTTTTGATTTTGGGGAGGGGGGGGGGCAGGGTGTTGCTTCTTTGAAGGAAGGAGGTTGTGGGAAACCTGAAATGAAAGCGGGGTAAGGATATGTAAATTGAGCACTTCAGAACAAAATTTTGATCAGGACAAACACGCCATCAAGCAAAAATGGCCAATTAAGAGCATTTGTTCAAACCAAATCTCTTTTCATCTAATGGAGTTGTTTTGGTCACTGAACTTTTTCTGGTCTCGTTCGCAATACTAGGCAAGGTTCCCTCCAGACGATCCTCTGCTCCTTGACTCCCTTTTGTAGAGAGGCACAACATCTCCTGCCTCCATTTTCTTTGAAGGGAAACTCAAGGGCCTCCTTTGGAGCAGCTGGGGGGCAGGGCCATAAAACAAAGAAATCTGTAGCTGGGTTGTTTTCTTGGGAAAAGCCTTCCCTTTTCTAGTCATTTCATAGTGCAGATGTTGTATGCATCCATGTTTGTGTTCTCCGTCAGGTTTGCAAAGAACTTCTGTGTTTGACCGGCTTGGTGCAGAGACAGGTGGAGACACAGCAATAGGAAGCAAGGTGAGGGGGCAGGGAGGGGGGGGCTCTTCTTTGCAGTTGATGGCAGTTTCTCTACTTTTCTCTCTGGTGTGTGGTTTCTGCTGACTCGGTGGTCCCCAACATATCCGGTGCTGACCCAGGTATCCTGGATGGAAGGTGGCAGTTCTGACCTGCTGGGCTCCCTGACTATGCCTGGATGGGGCCTGCTTTAGCGTGCCCCTCCCCGAAGAATGCAGCTACGGCAGGTTCTTTCTGGGGAGTGCACCCTTTGGTGGGTGGGAGGGTGTCTTGTTTCTGACATGGCAGGACTGGGCTTTCTGGTTGGTTGGATCTGCTTTTTGCTTGCAGTTCCTTTCTTTCTGTGAGAACTTGTTGCGACAGAGCAAGCTATAAATGGCGGAGGGCTCTTGTCACGAACTATTTTTGGTTGGAGGTTGCAGCAGTTGCTGGTGTCAGGAAGACGAGCATGCCATGTCTGCTGCCCCCTTACACTGGTATAAAATCATTTTAAGAGTAGAGATCTGTAGGGATTCTCTACATTTAGGAGTAGAGCATATGAGTTTGGTTGGAAAAATCAAAAGTCTGGTAATGTCTTTTCCATCTAACCTTTTATTAAAAGGATTACGTTTTTGTGAGCTGTAGCTCACTTCAGATGCATGAGTGGCTAAAGTGAGATAAGATATAAGCAGGAGAAGTGGGAAGGGAAGACTGGCTAGTTATGTAGACACAGGTGAGGCAGATCACCTAGAGTGCCTAGTGCAATAACACACTCTACTGTGTGTGTGTGTGTTGAGATCTTCTGAGATTGCCTAAGGCCAGTGGTACCCTTAGCCTGCCAAAAGCAGAGGGACCCACAATTGTCCAGCCACTAAGCTCTGCTCTGACTCTCCACAGCCCACAGGAGTGTTCAGCCGGTTGGGGGACGTGCAGGAGGACAAAGCGGCTGACAGCGATGACGACAGCTCTGTGCTCCAGTATGCAGGAGTGCTGAAAAGACCTTCCCAGCCCAAGGAGAGCTGCAAAGTTGGCGTCGCCATCAAGGCCAAAGCTACCAGCTCTGAGCCCAGGCAGGTGGCAGCTGATGCCGCTGCCACCACTGTAATCCGGCGACGGGGGAGCAAGAGTGTGGCTGGACCTGCCACTCCTGCCAAGGAAGGGATGCAGGGCTTGTCTCCTGCCCCGGGCAGTGTGGCCAAGAGACTGGGCAAGCGCTCGCTGAAACTCCTTGAGGCCCAGGACAGCAGCGTTACCAGTTCCAGGAGCAGGCCGGACTCTTCCTTCCGAGTCACCATAAACAGAACTTTAGGGAGCTCCAAGGTAAGCAGCTCCAGCCCTGTGGAGCCCCCCGGCGCTCAGATGGACCACACGGGCACCGTCAGTGTCTTTAAGAGGCTGGGCAGGAAGACACTGTGAGCCTGGCCTGGGACCCCACTTGGAGGGAGCTTCCAGCCGAGGAGGGCAAGCGAGTGTGTGTGTGTGTGTGTGTTCATCTCTCCCGTTGGCTCCCTTTGTGATGGGGGGGGGGGGGGCTGCACTCCAGAGCCAAGGCAGATCTGCTTCTGCGAAGCCCTTGGTTGGTTCTCCCAGCACTGTGTCCAGAGTTGCTTAGGGCCACACACTGGTTGAGGCATCTGAAAGGCCAGTCCTGGCAGGGTGCGAGCGCTTAGATGGCCTTGAAGAGAAAGCGAGGGGTTCTGGGCAGCCCTCTGAACACACCTTTTGTTTTTTCTCTGCAGGTGTTTGCTCTTCCCTAGGAAGTAGTGTCCATAAGAGAGACAGGCGGTCCCTTCCTTCTTTTTCCCTTCTCTGTCCTGAGCTTTCATCTGCCGACCCTGGAACTCGCGCATTCCAGGAAGGGCAACTGACTGGGTGCCAGGCATTTCTTTTAGCGGATGCTGGAGCTGTGCCATTGGTCTGGCAGCATTCTGGGTTTCTTTCCTTTCCTTTCCCCGTTTTCTTAGAATGGTTGAGAAATGCCCCTCCTTGTCTTACACGTCAGGATTCCTGACTGGCCTAGCTCGGTTTCTTTTGCTGCACTCCTGGATTAAGCTGTTCTTGGATTGGGTGTGTGGGTGTGCAAATGGCTGCACCCGCATTCCCTTAGACCTTTTTGAGCAAACAAAAGCCATCTCATTTTCCTCTCTTTTGATGTCTTGAGGCTTTTCCCTCCGGCACCTGCCCTGCTGAAGGTGGTTAGCATCAGTAAGGACAGGATGGGACGGCCACCCCCCACCCCACTTGTGGCTCTGGCAGTGTGTCTTGGGAGGGGGCGGAATCCTGGAGTTCAGCAGGCACACACCCTCCCCCGGCTGGCAGGATTTGAGGTAGGCCAATCACAGCTTTGGCCTTGGCCTTAGGAAATGACAGGGCACCACAAGTTTAAGGAGGGGGAGATCTGCTAGGAAAGGGTGCCCGGCACTGATGGGCCCCTACGCTTTCCCACTGGAAGAAGCCCCAGCTCCTTTACAGAAAGTCATTTGCCCCCACCCTGGCAAGATCTCCAGGGGGATCTGGGGCAGGCAGGGTCTTCGGCCTCCGGCAAAGAAATTCCATGGATGCCAGCAGGTCTCAAGGCAGCCAAGGGGGAGAAGAAGCCGGTCCATGCTGGGGGGAGGGGTGATTCTGCCCCCCCCCCCCCCGCCCCCCCCCGCCCCCCCGGGCGGAGGGGGGGGGTTCGGGGGGAAGCAGGGCTGCCTCCCCCCCCCCCTCCCACGGTGTCCCACCTCCTTTCCCCCAGGGCTGCCGATTCAGACCGGCTACAGACCCAGAGCTGCACGCCGGCTTAGCCGGCAGCGTCTAACGGGACTTCGCTGCTTGAAAGCGGGTTTGTCAATTGGAGTCTCTGTACACTGGGATGATGCGAGCTTCAAGTTGTACCGCGGCCGCGCAGCCCTCGAGCCGGGCCGGCGAGCGTACGCTCAAAATAAACGGTGTTTCCGCTCTGCTGGTGTCGCTCGACTCTTCCTTGCGTGGCGGCGGCGGCGGCAAAAGCTCCTGCCTTCCGGGGGTGGGGGGGGATAGCGACCGTCTGCGCATATGCGAGAGGACGCGTCGTTTGCGCAGGCGCCGAGAGTCGGCAACGCGCCTGCGCAGAGTAGCGAAGGTTGGCTGGTGGCGGGTCTGTTGTCGTTCCTGCTCGCGTCCCGGCCGCCCTGCGTGCGAGTCGGGAGAAGGCGGGGTTTGCGGGCGCCGTCGGACCTGACGCGACGGCAGCCCTGAGGATGGCCCCGCGGGGACGCCGGTAGCAGCAGCAGGTGAGGGGCAGGGTGGAGGCGATGCCCGGAGCCCCCGCTGCCTGGCCGAGAGCGCCGGCGCCGGGCGGCCGCGCGCGGGGCATTGTGGGATGGAGGCTGAACCATCGGCCGCGCGGGCGGGGGGGAGGCGCGGGGCGGACGCTGCGATCGGCCCGGGCCCGGGCGGCGTTCCGCGGTCCTCTCGCTGTTGGAGCCGCTTGGCCCGCCCGGGCTTCCCCTCTTGGGGCCCTCGGAGCCCGGCCGGTGAGCCCCGCTCCCTTCCCGCAGCGCTGCCCTAGCGGCTGGCAAAGCTGGATCCGAGGCGGTCCGTGCAGCCCCTCCGCTGCCCGGGCTGAGTGGGGGCTGGCGCTGTTGGGGCGGGGCGGGGCGGAGCCGGCGGCCGGGCTGGCCCTTGGCCCAGGAGCGCTTTCCCGCCAGGGCCGGTGGAGGCTCCCGGGAGCCCTTGGACTCTCGGGCTGACCAACCCGGGTGGGGGGGGGGAGGCCAAGGGGCCTGGGACATCTACTCTCCCCCCCCCCCGCGCAGCCTGGTGGGGCCGATGGGGCTGAAGGAAGGCAACCGCAGAGGGGGAGCCCAGCCCCGCTGGGGGCTCCGGGAGAAAGAATGCCTGGATTCTGGCGAATAAGGCTTTAACAAACGCCTGGCGCCCTCCCCTTGCAGTCGGTTTCAAGGTGGGGCAGAAGCTCAGGCCTCGAACATCGCCGCCCAAAGTCCAAGCAGCAACGTGGGATTCAAGCCTGGCCTGGCCGCTCTGGGAGTCAAGAGAGACCCACGAGCGGAGTGGGGGGCCCCGGGGGGGGGGCGCAGCCTGTGCAAAGGAAGAGCCCGCCGCCGGCTGAGAGGCAGCAGGTGCCCTGTGCCCGCCATGGGACTGCTGGTTCTCAGCAGAGCTTCCACATCGCTGCCCTTAACGTTGCCCCTGTGGAGCACGCAGAGGCCCCAGAGGGTTTTTCTTCCCTCTACCCTTCTGCCTTGCCGGAGGGTAAGGCAATGTTGCTCCCTCCTGGGGATTCCTGACAGCCTAAATGTCAATCAGAGGGTATGACAGACAGCAATCATCTCGCCCTGCCCACCCCAAGTGCACATGCATGCAGGCACATCCCACCTCTGATCTCCCGCTGGGAGCATTGGCAGGTGTGAGCATTGAGTTGATGAAAGCCCTTCCGTCTCTGGGCAGCAGAATGGGGGCTTGAAAAGTGGCTGTTTGCCGTGTTACACAGAATTCGTTTCTAGGGAGGAGGAAGGCATTTCCCCCCGCCCCCGTCCTGGGTCCCGCCTGTCAACCAGAGTCCTTTCCGTTTTCCCAACTTACTTACGACTAGAGGTGCCGTGTGAAAGGGTACCGCTTGCTGTAAAGCTGGTCCAGGGTCCTCTGCCACCTGAAAGGGCCTTTTGTCTCCTGGGCAGATTGGGGCCCACTGCCCGACCTTCCCTGCGTGGTTTGAGGAAGGAAGGCAACACAGCCAGCTGAGCTTTCTGCTCTTCTCTGGCTATCTCTGGCAGGAGCAGAGCCAATGGGGGGGGGGGGCGCGCTCCGGTTCTTTTGCCCAAGCCTGGATTGAGCCTTCTGATCCCTTCGTTTCCAGTCTTCCGTAATGGACTCCAAAGCTCTGATGCAACCCCCTTGCCGTCCCTGTCGCTCTCGGCCTCTGTAGCAACAGCACATGGTTCTTCTGGGGAGCCTTCCAACTGGGGCGAGGAGATAAGGTCCCTCTTTTTCACCTCCAGCAGCCACAGCCAGCAGGAAAGGGCACAGGATGCAGATGACTGAAAGTGGTTGTTTCACTCCATCGTGCCCTGCTCAGATAATAATAGCAACAGCGCTTACCTATATACCACTTCACAGTGCTTTACAGGCCTCTCTTAGCGGTTTACAGAGTCAACCTGGGTGCTCCTAACTCACTGTCCAGTTTTGAGCACCCCGATTAAAAAAGCACAATGCAAACATGAGACTGCCAGGGCAGTCAGAAGGCTGGAAAGAGGTGTCTAGATTGAGTATGTTTAGTGTGCAAACCAGGAGGCTGTTATACTTTTCTAGTCTCTGGCGGTGAGACCGCAGAAGGAACGGCATTGCTCTTGGTTTCCCCAGAAAGAAGGAAGGACCAGCACCAAGAAAGGAGGGTCAGGCTAGACATTGAGAAGAACGTCTTGACTGCACAGTGCAAGCTGTTGGCCAGTTGAGCAGGTTGCCAGGGAAGAGGCGGTGGGCTCCCCTTTGCTGGGGACCTTTGCACGGAGGAGGCCGAGTCCCGTCCCATTTGAGTGCTGCCCACGTAGGCCGTTCCGTAAGATGGCTCCTCTGGCTTGTGACATGGGGCTCTTAGGCTTCAGAAGTGGCTTCCTTTGCCTGCTGAAGAAGCTGCAGCTCTGCCTCCTCTTCCTCATCCCCCGGCATCCTTATTGGTGGTGGTGGTGCTGACGCTGTGTCTCTCTGAACCCTTTGGCCCATGGGAGACGTGCTCCTTCCCAGGCATTTTGTCTGTGTGGTTTTTTTGCTCAAGCAAGCTTTTCTGCGATCAAGCCTTCATAGGCATCTGTGTGCGCCAGCAAAGCGTGCAAGTAGCAAGCTGCTTCTGGAAGGTGCCTGGTGTTGACTGTGGCAAGTCTGTGGTGTCCTGCGTGGTTATCCTGGCCGCCTGCTGCTGGCCACGGCTGCGTGGGCTTGGCGCTCACTGGAAGGACAAGGGGGGCTAGTGGCAGCCCTGGGGCCTTCAATCGGCCCTGGAGTTTAGCCGCCGGCCAGTCCAGATGCCGGGGGGGTGGGGGAGCCAGGCTGCTGTCAGCTGTGGCTTCGTAGAGAATTTCACAACGTTGTTCTGCAGTGCTGGGTGGGGGGCAGGGCTCGGGGTGGCCTCCGATGTTCTCAGGACGGCAGCCATTCCCTTCTCCCCTGCAGGTCGCCAGGAAGCCTGGGGCCCACCTGGCAGGCAGCAGCCCCTCTCCGTGCCCTGTGGTGGCAGCAACATGAGTGAGGTGTCGGTGATTAAGGAGGGATGGCTGCACAAGCGAGGTGAGTGGTGCCCCGCCTGCCCTGTGGGAGACCCTGAGCTGCCAGCGGCGCTTCTCCCCCAATGGAGGCCCCCGGCTTTGGCTGCAGCGGGTGAAGGTCATCGCCTCTCCTAACCCCAAGGCCCGAGCAGCCTTCCCAGAGGCAAAGGCCCTCAGCCACCGGGCTGCATTTCTTCTAGCCCAGGGAAGACCCAGCGGGGGCCTCTTTTGCCCCAGTTTGGCTCTGTAGCCTGTGCTCCTAAGGGGCTTCTCGGCCCTCTGAGACCCGCTGCTGGTAGGGCAACTCAAAGCCCATCTTGGCAAGAGCCCCTGGTCACCCGGCAGGGCTCCTTCCCCTCCCCACTCCCCTGAGCTGCTGCTGCTCCTCCGGCCCTGGTTCCTTGCAGACAAATATAGACCGCAGCTGGGGGCTATTTTGGTCCCGCCGTGGCCTGGATGGGTGGCAGGCCTCGGTCTGCTTTTGCCAAGCGGGGCTTGGACAGAAGAGCAGCCCACCCCCTAAAAGCTCTGGGCTGAGCTGCCCTCTGCCTGAATCCAGCAGGGTTCCTGGAGCAGCAGGAGCCCCCCCCCCCAAACCTCTTCCTCCAGTCCGTGGAAGAGACGCCTCAGCTGGTCAGAGTCCCCACCTGGCAAGGGACACACGAGGATCTGTTCCTCTGCCAACCTTTAGGCCAGGTGGGGGCTTGCAGGGGTGTTGGGCCAAAGGTGGAGGCTGATGGGGTCACCCCTCTATGCCTGCCCGTCCTGGGCGATGGTTGTTGGCTGTGTGGGCCCAGCGTGTCCCCCTGGGTAACCCCAGAACGACTTTCCAGGGGAATACATCAAAACGTGGAGGCCCCGATACTTCCTCCTCAAAAGCGACGGCTCTTTCATCGGCTACAAGGAGAAGCCGGAAGCTGCCGATCACAGCGCACCCCCTTTAAACAACTTCTCTGTGGCAGGTGTGTTGCCCAGGTTAGCTTGGAAAAGGTGGGCGGGTGCCCTCCAGCCTCCCAGGGGCCCCGGCAGAGGCTCTTCCCCCGCCTGGACACGGGACTTGGGTGCATGAGCAACGGTTACCCTGGCGCTGTCCTCCTCCTCCTCCTCCTCCTCCTCCTCCTCTCTGCTTTGGGGACAGCCGCCCTGGCTGAGCCTGTGTGGATCATGGCCGGGGGGACTGGGCCAGACCGGAGCCCCATGGCAGGGGCCGAGGCTCCAACCTGGGGGTCCTTTCCTCCTCCTCCCCCCCCCCCCCCCAGAATGCCAGCTGATGAAAGCCGAGCGACCCCGTCCCAACACGTTCATCATCCGCTGCCTGCAGTGGACGACGGTCATTGAGCGGACCTTCCACGTGGACTCCCCAGAGGAACGGTGAGTGGGCGCCCCCCCCCCCCCCCCCCCCCCCCGGGCCGGCCGGGGGGCCCCCCCCCCCCCCCGCCCCCTCCCTGGGCCAGGCCTGGTGCCAGCCTCCCGAATTCCTCCTGACCTCTCTTCCTGCTTGGCTCTCCCCGGCTGCCCTAGGAACAGGGAGAGGCCTAATCGGGCCTTTGGGGGGAAGGGTGCTGCAGGTGGGCTGTAAAAGTTGGGGTGCTTTCCTGCTTACTGCGCGAGTGCAGCTACTCATCCAGTAAAATGACTTTGCTCTATAAAAATGGAGTCTGAGGACTTGTTTCTTGGGTTTTGAACGGAGGCACATCTGACCCCTCGCTTCAGGTGTCACCCGGGATTGGAGTGGGGGGGTCTGTTTGGGGTTGCCTCCCATCCTCCTGCGGAGTTCCGCATCCAACTCTCACACCCCAGTCGTCTTTAGGCGCCAGAAATGCCAGGCTTCCCTGACTGGGGCAGCTCCCTTACCGGCAGCGGCGCATCCTGCCTTAGGCTGCCCCCTCGGTTTGTCTCGGCTGCCTCGTAACGGAGCCGGCCGGCCGGCCTTGGAGGGCTTCTTAAGGGTGCTTGGCACCCTGAGTGTCGGTTTGCTCTTCCCAGGGAAGAATGGATGCAGGCCATTCAGATGGTGGCCAACAGCCTAAAGACCCAGGCGGCGGAAGAGGAAGACAGGATGGATTACAAGTGTGGCTCCCCCAGCGACAGTCCAGGGGCCGAGGAAATGGAAGTGGCTGTGACCAAGGCCAGAACCAAGGCGGTAAGCGAGGCAGGTCTGCGGGAAGGAGACGGCTGCTGATCTTGGCTACTTGAGGGCTGTGGTCAAGTTACGGCCGTGGGATTCCAGGGATTTTACCCAAAAGGCTTTGCTCAATCAGTCAAGGAGCTCCTCCCTCTCTCTCTCTCGCTCGCTTTCTCTCTCCCTCGCTCTTTCTTTCTTTCTTTCTTTCTTTCTTTGTTTTCTGTTCCCAGACCATGAGTGACTTCGACTACTTGAAACTCCTGGGAAAGGGCACTTTTGGGAAGGTCATCCTCGTACGGGAAAAGGCCACCGGGCGCTACTACGCCATGAAGATTCTACGCAAAAAGGTCATCATTGCCAAGGTGGGCAGAAGCTCCGGCCCCTCAAGAGTGCGGCAGAGAGAGTGGAGAGACTTGGCCAGGCCAGCAGTGGGTGGCCTTGGGGGACCCGCCAGGGGGCTGCTGCCCAAGAGCAGACCAGGGAGCGGGGAGGGTGTCCAACGCTCTTAGAGGCCAGAGGAAGAAGGCCCCACCCTGCCCTGGAGAGGACTGACCCAGAGCCCTTCCTCAGAAAACTTGGTGGGGGGGGGAGCCCTTTGGAATCGGGGGTTTTCTGCGCCTCCAGAGAGAGAGAGAAACAAGCTCTGGAAGTATTTACCGCTGCTGCTCAGACAGTTGGATTCTGGGAAGCCCCCTTCCTCTGCCATCCCAGAGAAGAGCGGATCCGAAGGATTCCCCTGCGCGCTCCCCCCCCCCCATTTGGCCAAGGAGCACTGCCTGTTTCAGCCAGGGGGCCAGAAGGGCCCGTCTTTACGCCCACCAGCGGTTCCTCTTCCCCGGCCCTGGGGAGGGTTGGCATTCCTGCCCTTTTCCTGGAGCCTGGAGAGGACGGCTGTGGCGGGGCGGTGGGGGGTGGGGGGCTGCTTGCCAGGTGCACTGGGTGAGGACGCTCTTCCCTCTTCCAAGGATGAAGTGGCCCACACCGTCACGGAGAGTCGAGTGCTGCAGAACACGAGGCACCCCTTTCTCACGGTACATGGCGGGGGGGGGCTGGCCATGATCCAGGGGGGCTTCAGAATACTTCCCCCTAGCCAGAAGCATCCTTTGCTTCTGGTTGAGAAGGGGGGGGGCGCTCAGAGCCAGCCAAAGCCTGGGGTCCTGCCCCAGGGGCCCAGCCCCTGAGGTACCCTCCTCCTCCTCCGCCTCTCCCCCCCCATGAGGCGGCACGGGGGGGGGGCTAGGCCTGGGGCTGGTTGGACTCAGAGCACAGGGCCAGGGTGGGCAGGGGGCCGCTTCTGAGGGAAACCTCTGCTCCTCTTCCTAGGCCCTGAAGTACGCCTTCCAGACCAACGACCGCCTCTGCTTCGTCATGGAATACGCCAACGGAGGGGAGGTGGGTGTCTGCCAGGAGCCCCTTCCTTGGAGGTGCTGGGCCTGCTTCTCCCTGACCCGCCTGCTTCCCTTGCAGCTGTTCTTCCACCTCTCGCGAGAACGTGTCTTCACGGAGGAGCGTGCCCGCTTCTACGGGGCTGAGATCGTTTCTGCCCTGGAGTATCTCCACTCGCGGGATGTGGTCTACCGTGACATCAAGGTGGGGAGGGGGGTCCAACGGGGTGGCCCCCAGGCCAGCTGTGGGGTGGGGGTGGAGGGCTCCCCTCGGCTGGGGTCCAACCGCCTTTGTGCCTTTCAGCTGGAGAACCTCATGCTGGATAAAGACGGGCACATCAAAATCACGGACTTTGGGCTGTGCAAGGAAGGCGTGTCCGATGGAGCCACCATGAAGACCTTCTGCGGGACACCGGAGTACCTGGCCCCAGAGGTATTGCGGGAAGGGCGGGTCCAGCCTTGACCAGCCTCAGAGGGCCCGGGGCTGCCTTCCCGGGGTTTCCCATCCCCCGCTGCCCTTGTCCCCGCAGGTGCTGGAGGACAATGATTACGGGCGGGCCGTGGACTGGTGGGGCCTGGGCGTGGTCATGTACGAGATGATGTGCGGCCGGCTGCCCTTCTACAGCCAGGACCACGAGCGCCTCTTTGAGCTGATCCTCCTGGAGGAGATCCGCTTCCCCCGCACCCTCAGCCCTGAAGCCAAGGCCCTGCTGGCCGGCTTGCTCAAGAAGGACCCCAAGCAGAGGTGAGGGAGGTCCCGCCGGCTGCCCTCCGAGCACCAGCCTGCCTTGGGCCTTTGCTTGCCCGGGGGCCCGAGCTATTGGAGTCAGAGGCCCTTGGGCTTGGCTGCTGGACGTGCCGGAGAGCAGGGGAGGCCAAGAGCGGGATCTGGCAGTGTGGGGGAGGGGTGTTCTGTCCTCAGATTCAAAGGCCAAGCCGTGGCTGGCGTGAATTTGGCATTTGTAATAAAATACAGTTGACTTCTGTGTTTTAGAGGTTGAAATAAACGCTTAGCGCATAGTTTGCACAAACGCACGTATAACGCGAGCGCCCTCCTCTGGGCAGAAGATACACCGCGGGGGTGCTGGGGTGCAGCTGGGGGAGGTGGCACTGCCACCCTGAGGAATTCCCCCTCCTTGTCTTCCCCAAAGGGTAAACAGGCACCTCCTCGGCGTTTGCCCTCCCCCTGAACTTGTGGGCACGCTCACATGGCCATGACTGTCCACGCACACGCAAAGCTCTTAACCCAGCCTTTTCTTGCCAGGCTGGGGGGCGGCCCCAACGACGCCAAGGAGGTAATGGAGCATCGGTTCTTTGCTGCCGTTAACTGGCAGGATGTGGTGCAGAAGAAGGTAAGCGCTGCGGTGCTGCCGCTGCCGCCACCCTTTCCCCCTCAGGGCTCTCCTGGGTGGGAGGGGGGCGGGGGCAGAACCCCCCATGGGGCGAACTAAGCAGGCTCTCTCCCGCCAGCTCATCCCCCCTTTCAAGCCCCAGGTGACGTCCGAAATAGACACGCGGTACTTTGATGACGAGTTCACAGCCCAGTCCATCACCATTACGCCCCCAGACCGATGTGAGTAGGGGGCTTTGCATTGAGGGGCAGGCCGGGGGAGGGGGCTCACCTGGTCCTTTGGTTCCGGCTTCACCAGGAAGCCTCCGCCCGGGCTGTTCTTGTCCGCAGACGACTGCGTGGACCCCCTGGACGCCGACCAGCGGACGCACTTCCCTCAGTTCTCCTACTCAGCCAGCATTCGGGAGTAGGGCTGCAGCGCCTCCGGAGAGAGCACGGGGCCGGCCAGGGCCACCCACCCCGTCTGGCTGATCCCGGCTTCCCATTCCTGGGAGCCAAGCGGAGGAGCCTGGACCTGCCACATCGACCCTTGCAGTCAGGACCAGCTGACTCACTTGTGCCCAGGTGTCCCTGCCCCCCCCATACCTCCCCCCGCCCTTTGCCTCTGGGCCACCACTGAATGTCCCCTGGAAATTGCTTTGGCGTGTTTGGTGGCTTCTGAGGGCTGCGCTCGGGCACCGCGTTGCGTTGGCGGAAGGCGGGAAGCACCGTTCACTGCCTCACGTATGGGCTGCCGTGGTGGCCTTGGTGGCTTGCAGGGCTGTGCTAAGAGAGGCAGAGCCCCGAAATCCCAGCACCCCAGGGGATAGTGGCCGGCTGGCCGGCCAGCGCTCAGGTGCCTCTTGAGGACAGTTGGCTTTGGGTGGAGCAGGGCAACCCCCATGCCTCCGTGGGTGCCGCTGTTAAGAGGAGTGCGGAGCTGCCCTCCAGGTAATGGGGAGCTGGCCCCCACTTAGCACCGCGGCCTTTCAAGGAACGCCGGGGGGCCGGGCAAAGCAGCTGCACCCTCCTGGCCTGTGACAGTCTGTAGCTGCTGCTTGCAAGGCCCAGGACTGGCCCTCGCTGGAGCGATTGGGCCCAGCTGCCCCTGCCCAGTAGTTCATCTGAAGGGGGCTGCCCGTGTGCAACTGGGGCCGGGGTCTGAGTTCCCTGGCCCAGGTCTTGTAGTGGCCCTGGCAGTGTTTCCCCCTCTCTCTCTCCAGCTGTGGAAGATGGCTGCCTGCCTCTCCCATCTCTGGCCCAGTGGGGTAGGCAGCCCCCTGACCTCTGGCCCTCCTCCTCATGGCTGCAGGGCCCTGCCTTGGGAGGAAGGGGGCCTTTTGCCTTGCCCCCCAGGCCTATGTGGCTTGACCGGGGAAGAAGCAGGCAGCCCGGAGTCGCTCGACTCTGCCAGGGCGCAGGTGCTGCTCAGCTGAGTTGCCCCAGAGGGCCCAGAAGCCACACAGCCAGCCCCCCCCCCTGCCCCCCCCCCCTTTGCTAAAGAGGAGGTTGTGATCCTCTGGCAAGCCTGGCCGGGAGGTGGACTGACCTTCCTGAAGCTGGGGAACAGTCCGCAGGGCCCCCCGCCCCCTGTGCAAGGAGTGGGAGGCCTCTAGGGAAAGGGGCTTCTCCAGCTGTGCTGCTGGCAGGCCAGAGCAGTCCCTCCTGCCCACCTGTGTGGTCTCTTGGGCAGGTACCAGAGGATGCCACCTGGTGGGCTGCTCTGTCTGGCTCTTCTCTTGACCTCAGCAGCAGCAGCAGCAGCAGCAGCCCTGGGGTTCCTGTGCTCCCTGGGTTTGGGGGACCTGCCCGCGCCAGAGACACCTGCGAATTCCACCGTTGCTCTGGGCTCCATCACAAGTCTTCTTTCTCCAAAGGGGGGGTGGGGTGGGGGTGGGAGGCAGGCAGCACGAACCTGGCTGCAAACATCCATGGCAGCAGCCCGGCCTGGCTTCCCGTGTCTCAACTCTTGCAGGCAGCCAGTGGCAGTTGCCCGATTCCACTGTGCGCAGCCCCCAAGCAGGAAGGACGGGGGCTCCCCCAGGGCATGCGGCCTCCAGGACTCCCTCCGGTCAGCTGCCCCTGGTGCGGCCTGCTTGCCTCGCAGGGTGGCTCCCATCAGGCACTCCCGCCCAAAGCCCCCTGAGAGTCGGGTGGGGGAACCCGGGCTGCTCCAGACCCACCGTGTGGCCTTCCTTCCACTGCACCCGAAGTGCCGGCAGCTCCCAGGCCTCCTTGAGCCTTTGGGGTCTGCCCCTCAGACCAATCGGCCCAGTTCGGCTCCCTGGACTTGCAGGGTGCAGGGCTGGGTGGGACCCGGCCCTCTGGGACACTTGGGGTGGGGCAAGAATAGTTTCCCATGTTTGCTGTAGTTCTAATCCAGGTTGACTAGTTGAACGTTGCCCCCGTCAGACGGGAGTGAAGCGCCCACTGGGTTGTAGCACGTTTTCTGCCCTGCGCGCTTCCCCACTGCTGGGAATCAGCAGCACTTCTGGGCCTCTGCAAACCGGGGCAGCTTGAGATTCTGAGTTCCGTTTGTAAAATAAAGATAGCTGGAGTGTTTTTGTAAACGTGGCTGATAAGCACAAAAACTGGAAAGGCCTTTTTTTTTCTTTTTTTTTCTTTTTTTCTTTTTTTTTTTTGGTAAACCACAGAATTGCCTTCCTCTATCCTCAGATTTGTACGGTACAAGCAATAAACTATGTTATTTCTTGGTTATACGGTGGTCTTTTTAATTTTTTTTTATGTTTATTAAAATAAATATTTATGAAAATTTTAAAGCAACACCCAAGCTCTTGTTCATTGTAGTTGATTATCTACAAATTTCATCCCAAGTGGCTGTGGTCTTTTGAGGAAGGCAACTTACCTCATTCTTGCAAGGATGAGAGTTTTATCCAGGGAATTTCAGCAAAGCCCGCCCGTCCCCCTCTTCCTCGCCGTCTTTGCAATCGAAGCCCCCCTCCTTTCAATGGTGGGCCATTTCCTTCAGTGCTGCACAATAGCCACCCAGCTGCTGGGGGGGGGGGTGCTAAAGCAGGCCACCCCCAGCGTTGCCCCAGGCCCACCATCGTCCCTCCAACCTTTGGGCGGCAGGCAACGGCCCCCACCTGCTTCCCCTCTCGGGAAATGGCAGGCCAGGAAATTGGTTCTCTGTCACTTTCCATTCGTCGGTTTTGAAAAGGCCTAAAATCCCATCCTGCATTATTATACTCTACGTTACCCCGTAGAACATCCGAGCGTCCCTCCTGCTCTGCTCTGCTGGCTGGTGGCTCCTTCTGCTAACGAGCCCTAATTTAGCCAAGCTGGGAGTCCTCTGGTGCTCTGAGCTCCCTCCCCACCTTGTGGGCGTTCGGGCAAAGGCCATGGCGGGCCCCGAGGGGAGGCCCTGGACGCTGCTGCTGCTGCTGCTGCAAAGAGCGGTTCCCTCGGTCGGGGCCTTGTTTGTGGGCCGGCAGGCCATAAGCCGAGTAAGTGCCCCGGGCAGCCTGTTGGGGGGGTGTCACTGAAGATACGCTCTCCCCTCCCTGAGGGAGGAGGACCTGCGGCCATTGTTTCCCACCCAAGCTACCCGCTCCCAGTCCTGGCCACCTGGAGGAGCGACTCTTTGGCATGGACCATCCCTTACCAACAGGCCTCAGCAGCTGCCCGAGCTGCAAAGTTACACGCTGCTCACCTGGGTTCCTCAAACTGGAGGGGAAGGAGGAGCAGAGGGACCCCCTCAGTCCCCCTGGGAGCAAGGACTTTGTCTGCCCCCCCCGCCCCCCCAACTTGGGAGACGCCAGTGGAGTCCCTGCCAGATCTGGGAAGGTGGGAAGGTTCGCTGATAAAACGAGGCTGCCCCCACCTTTGGGGAGGGTTGTGTGTTCCTTTAAACAGGCTCCCTCTTCTGGTAATGCTGCTTGGTTTCAGGTGGATGAGAAGAGGGAGCCCTTGAAAAGCAAGAGCAATGAGGGGCGGAGCACCGAAAAAGCATCTGGGAAGGTGGGTCACTCCTGGCCCTGCAGCGGAGAGCTGGCGGGGGGGGGGGGGGGGGGGGGGGGCTCCCCCCGAAGCTTCAGACCTGGAAGTTATTGGGGTGCTCACAGGAATCAATCCTGGGGGAAGCCAGCCCAAGGTTGGGGCTGAAGGGGGGGGCACTGGCAGGAACCCAGCTGGTCAAGGGAGAGAAGATGGCCAGCCCAGCTTTCGTGCCTCCTCCTCCTCCTCCTCCTCCTCTGTGGGGCTGCACAAGAAGGCGTGTTTCAGCCTCTTTGCGCCTGAGCGGTGTAGGAGCAAAATCCTCAAATCCCGCCCTCCGCCTGCAAAGACTTCAAGCTGCCAGACTGCCAGGGGGAAATGGGACCACCAGAAACTCTGCCTGTGGGAGGAGGTGAAGCCAGGGTGCTTCTGTCAAGCCTTAGGTTGCATCCACTGGCAGCTGGTGGGGCAAAGGCCCTTGAACAGCCTTGTGCCCAGCCGGAGGCAACCTTGAGCCCCTCAGGGCTCTGGGAGGGAGGTGGCAGCAGGTTGGGCTTTGCTTTGGCAGGTAGCTCCCCGCACCCCGTCCCCGGCCTTGCCTTTCTCCCGGCTGCCGGATTCCTCTCCTCTTCCAGAAGAAAGGCCTGGGAAGCTCTGAAAAAGAGGCTGAGGAGCAGGGAGGGCCCCAAGCCCTGCCGGAACCTCCTTTCCCGAGGGAGCGAGGTGAGCGGCCCCTGAACCCCAGAGGAGCCTGCAGGCCATCGCTTGGGGGAAGGGATAATCCGATGCATGTACCGCACTCTGTGACGAGCAGGCCTCCTCCCCTCCTCGCGAGGAAGCCCTGCTGACTAGTGGTGGGGTTCAGTCCTTTTTTACCACCAGTTCTGTGGGCGGGGCTTGGTGGGCGGGCCGGGGAAGGAGGCTGTGAAATCTCCAGTCAGAGGCAGGATTGGCCAGTTCTCCAAACTACTCACAACTTCCGCTACCGATTCTCCAGAACTGGTCAGAACCTGCTGAATCCCACCTCTGCTGCTGACCTCCCAGTCTCCCCTCTCTCCCCCAGTGGTCCCAGCCTCGCTGGCCCTTGACCAGGAGCTGTCCCAAGCCATGCTGCGGATGGACATGGCCCTGGAAAGGGAGTACGCCTTCGACATCTTCAGCAACTTGATGGTGAGCAGTGGCAGTGGAGCCCCCCCCCGCCCCCCCCGCCAACAATGGAGGCCCCCTCCCTGGCAAAACCCAGCCTGGATGCCTGGGCGTTGGGCATCCAGAACCCAATGAAGGCATCCCGGATGGTGCTGTGTCGTCCAGCATGGTCTTGGACACTGTAAGACAGAAGGCCCCCCTGGGCTTGGCCCAGGTTTCAGGGTTCCTCTGGTGGCCTCTCTGCCTAGCCAAGGGAGCCCAAATCTCCCTCGTTTGGGGGTTGCTGGTTCCCTGTGGCCTCTCTGGTGTGTGCCACGAACACCCCGTTGCCGGGGACTGTAGGGCTCCAAGACGGCACTGCCTCCCCCTCGGCTCCATGCCAGGGAATGGGCCCGGTGTGCCCAACCCTGGGTTCTGACCCTTTTCCTAGCGGAAGCAGCCGTCATATGCGTTCCAGGGCTTTGACCTGCCGCGGCCGGTCACAGTGGAGATGCGAGCCCTTCTGGTGGACTGGCTGGTCCAAGTGCATGTAAGTGCTGGGCTTGGGGTGGCCTGATTTGCTGGGTCTAGAAGCAGAGGAGGGACTTCCCCCCCCACACACACACATACCTCTGCTCCTTTCCCCGCAGGAGTATCTTAATCTGGCTGACGAGACCCTCCACCTGGCTGTCCACCTCATGAACTCCTACATGAGAGCAGGCCGGGTCAGGATCCCTTGCCTGCAGCTCCTCAGCGCCACCTGCCTCTTTCTGGCGTGCAAACTGGAGGAGCACACCTGCCCAGAGGTGAGAGTGCAAAAGCTGGATTTGGGAGTGTCCATTGGCCTTCCAGAGAGCGGGGCAACCAAAGCAACTTGCTCTGGTTTAGTCCAGCAGCCCTTCTCGGTCCTTGGCCTTTGAGGCTGGAAGAGGAGGGCACCTGGGCTTCTCTGGAAGCCCCTTCCCCCCATGCTCTGGCACAAGGCCAGGACCTGTTCCCTCCTTTCCTGCAGCCAGCCCAGCTGTGCTTCATGATGGAGAACTCCTGCAGCCGAAAAGATCTCCTGCAAATGGAACGCAAAATCCTGGGCCGGCTGAGGTTTGAGCTGCACTACGCCAATCCCATCCACCTGTTCCGCCTCCTGGCAGAAGTGGCCCATTGCACCTTGGAGGTAAAGGGCCCAAAGTGAGCTGGCGGGGCCAGAGCCACCTGCAGGATGACTGGCTGCTGTTCCCAAGCGGTCCCTGGGCCACCTGTGCCCTGGCCTTGTGGGAGGCAGCAAGCGTCCTTTCCCCCTCCTTCTCCATGCCTGTCCAGGTCCAGTTCTTGGCCCTCTATTTCCTGGAAGCGTCTCTCATGGAGGTGGACTGCCTGCGCTTTGAGCCGGCCCAGTTGTCCTTTGCGGCTCTGTCTCTGGCACACCAGCTGTCGTGGGAAGCCAGAATTCAAGACATGGATGCCCTTCAGCAACACTTTCCAAAGTTCCTTGTGTACAGGTATGATGAGCAAGGGGCGGAGGCGAGGTCAATGAGAAATAGCGGAGGTGCAGATAATTTGGGGTCTCTCCCTCATTCCCAGCTTTTAAAGCACAACCTCTTGGATGTGAGGCTGCACGTTCCTTTATGTGCCTGTT